GGCTCTGAGCTATCAGCCCAGAGCCTGACGCGGGGCTCGAACTCACGGACAGCGAAATCATGACCTGAGCTGAAGTCGGCCGCTTAACCGACTGAGCCACCCAGGCGCCCCCACAGTGTCTTTTTCCAATTGTCCATCCTGGAGGCAAATTTCTAACTTTGGCCAGGGTCTTCTGTTACTTGCTGGGTTTCTGTTGCTTCTTCCTGGACACATAAGGCTTGAAACAGAGACCACGATAGAAAACATAAACGTGCCAGAAGGAATACATACCAAAGCTAAATATGTGTTTTCCCAACTGGCCAGTAGTTGGAATTTTGCTACTACCTCTTTCCATCAGCTTGGACAATTAAGATTTTACTGATTTTATTTTAGTGCTTGTAGTCGACACCACTTCGGTGTCCTATGCTCATTTCTAGTTCACATATCATAAATTAAAAGTTTTTGGGGCCCCTGGGTGGCTCCTTCGGTTAAGAGGCCGACTTCAGCTCAGGTCATGATCTCACGGCTCGTGGGTTCGGGCCCTGTGTCAGGCTCTGTGCTGACAGCTCGGAGCCTGGAGCCTGTTTCGGATTCTGTGTCTCCCCCTCTCTCTGCCCCTCCTCAGCTCGCAATCTGTCTCTGTCTCTCTCAAAAATAAAATTAAAAACATTAAAAAAAATTTAAAAAAATGGAAGTTTGACAAAAGGAGCCCTGACATTTTCTTTAGGTTTTAAATTTTTTTCTAATTTTTATTTATTTTTGAGAGACAGAAAGAGACAGAGTGTGAGCAGGGGAGGGGCAGAGAGAGAGAGAGACAGAGACACAGAATCTGAAGCAGGCTCCAGGCTCCGCAAGCTGTCAGCACAGAGCCCAATGCAGGGCTTGAACCCACGGGAGATCATGACCTGAGGCAAAGTCGGACGCTTAACCAACTGAGCCACCCAGGCGCCCCTTCTTTAGCTTTTAAATGAACCTCCCATCTTTAGAGCTGGAGAACAAGGGGGTATGCTAGGCTGAGGTTGCCGTAAGCAGAGACCCCTGCAGGGGAGGAGCCAGCTTCATTAGCGAGACGTTCCTCACAGGTCATCTCTTCTGTCTCCTGCAGGCAGTGGTTCAGATGGAAGGTGACAATAAGCTGGTGACAACTTTTAAAGGCATCAAGTCTGTGACCGAACTCAATGGCGACATAATCACCAACGTAAGTTGGCCCTCTGAGCTTATGGTTCCCAGTGCTTGAGGGGAGGGGAGAGGTAGAGTGGGGAGGAGCTCTGTCACCTTTCCTGTTGTCAGTCTCTGCTACCACTTAGTGAGGACCCGTTATGTTCGGCACTTTACACACATTCTATCTACCCAACAACCCTAGGTTCTCTAAGTGGGGAAACTGAGGCAACACATAGCCAGGGAATGGCAGAACTAGGGTTCCTCTGATCGGGGCCTGTCACACAGGGCCGTCCTCCACAGCTGTACCCTGCACAACCCTACAGGGAGCCACTCCCATTATAGATGGTGTAGACTTGTATTCTTATTACCATCTTGAAGTGTATGTCAGTTAACCGTCTTGCTCTGACAAAACTAGTGCAGTGTATTTGGATAGTTTCCCAGCAGATAGAAGTATAGTATCTTGAGGAAGGGGCGTCCTTTTTTAATTCACCCAAGACCCCCCATGTGTTGGAGGTGGGCCCCAGCTGGTGCTTCTCTACCTCTCCTGAGTTCCTTCAGCCTGCCCTTCCGTCCCCACTTTCCAGGTCGGGGTCAACCCCCCGTTCTTCCTTCTCTCCTCATTGCTGTCTCCTTTCTTCCACCCATACCCAAATGGGATGGGGGAACAAGAGGTGCTTGGTAGGACGAGCCACGGTTCGTGCGTGGCCCACCTTTCTCAGTCGCCACTGGGATGTGGCCACAAGACTTGCTCACAGGCATTTACGAGGAGAATCATATTCATAGCAGCTTCGTGGCAGCTTATCAGAATGGCACACACCAGTTGTGCAATCCTCCTTGGTGCCTGACTGTCGACCATGTCCTATCCCTGATTTGGGGGTGAATAGGACAGTGTTTCTCCTGCAGTTATATTCCCGTGGCTCTTCTTTGCTTTGGGGAGTAACAAAAGGCAGAACACTACCCAGGGAGTCTGTTGCACCCCTGTTCAAGTGGGAAAAATCCCTCAACTAGGGAGGGTGTGAGAGTCAGCCAGGAAACATGTGGTCCCACCCCTGTTGGACACATTCACAGCACATCAGGAAGGTGCCAGAAGGAGGAAGGGAGATGAGCCTAGACTCAGTTCTGGCCAAAGTCCTTTGATAGGCTTTTTTTGTACTTTGATATGCATTTGATAGCTCCCCTAATCTTTCCCTCTGCTGCGAGGGAGGCAGGCTGAGGGATTTAATAGACAGGCTGACCTGTCCAAGGTCACCCAGCTAATGAGCTATAGAACCATGGTTCAAACCTAGTTCTTTCCATTCTATTCCATTGCTGCTGAAGCTAAGGGGCTCCTTTGTAACCCTGATGACATTACCCTGTGTCATTGTCACAGACCTGTTCAAGAGAACCAGTGGGGGGCAGTGGTGGTGGGGTCGTGTGGGAGAAAAGAACATCCCTCAAAAATTCAAAAACTGGTTAATCCAATGGTCCAATGCTTTTATATGCTTCATAGCTCTTTGGGAGGAAAATTTTGCAACACCTACTATGTTCCAGGCTACGTGCTTACATGTGTTTCCATGCACATGTGCTCTTGGTCCTCAACATGTGTTTGGTACGTAGCAGGCACTCAATGAAACTGAGAAATTGGACTGGACTGGACCCATTTGGATGGTCTTGCCCTAACTGCCATTGATATAGAAAGGAATTCACTAAAAGGCAGGACAACTCTCCACATGAGGAAGTGAAGCGACCAAGATCTGGCATGGGATTTTAGAAAAGACTGCCAACCCTTCCTCTGGTCCTATAGAAAACTTCAGGTTGTTACTCATGCTAGCATATTTGGGATGATTTTGTAGCCTTAATTACCTTTTGCAACTCCACATCAGATGAACATTTTGTGATTTTTTTCTTTTTTTTTTTTTGACTTTCAGACCATGACACTGAATAACATTGTCTTTAAGAGAATCAGCAAGAGAATTTAGACAAATCTGCATTTCATATTCTTTTACTGTGTAAAATTAATGTAATAAAGTGAACTTTGTTTTAAAAAAAAAAAAGTCTTTTCTTCTCGATAGCTTGTCATTGATGGTGCTGAGTATCAGTGTGCATTGACCACCTATATCTTTGTAAACCTTGATCATCTGCAGGTTCCATCCTGCTGGGTCAAGTCTGAAGGGTGATTCTCACCCTGAAAGCGGACCCTAGGCTGCCCACTCAAGTGACCCTACAGGGAACCCAAGATGTGGCTGGATGTGTATGGCAGCCCTGGAATGACGTTCCTGGTCATCCAGACAGGCAAGAAGCTGGAGTAAGAGGGTGTGCTGGCTGCCTGTGGGGACAGAGAACAGGAATGCTGCGCAGGCAAAGGGGAGCTATGCCTGTCAGTGTGGTCACGGTGTCCCCGCCCACCAAGGGACATGAACCAAAAGACCAGGCTCTGACCCACCAAATGAACAATTCACTCTCTGGGAGAAGGGCTGATGGAGGAGATTAGCAGGAGGCACCAGAAGTGGACAGAGAAAGGCCAGGTGGACATCCCCTCTGTGCTATGGGCAAAGGCAGAATGTGGAAAAAAGATTTCTCTGAACAGCACTTTGTATCAGTCTCCGGTAGCCGTTATAGGTTGAGTTGCACCCCGCCCCCCCTAAAATTCACATGTTGAAGTCCTAACCCCCAGGACGGCAGATTGTGACCTTATTTTGAAATACAGACATTGCAAATATAATTGGTTAAGTTAAAAGGAAGTCATGCTGGAGTAAGGGGGACCCCTAATCCATTATGGCTGGTGTCCTTATGAAAGGGAGACATTTGCAGACAGAGACATCCACGCGAGGAGTATGCCACACGGAGATCGGAGTTATGCAGCCACAAGCCAAGGATGTACCAGAATCTAGGAGAGAGACCTGGAACAGATCCTTCCCTACCTCCTTCAGAGGGAGCATGACCCTCTCTTCACCATGATCTCAGACTTCTGGCCTCCAGAACTGTGAGATAATACACTTCTGTTGTTTACGCTGCGCAGTCCGGGGTACTTTGAAATGGCACCCCTAGCAAGCTGATACGGTGCTCATTCCCCACATCCAAAGAACTGCCAAGCCCAGACACGTCTACCTTCATCATGTCTTTCAGCCCCAGAATGGCACCAGCGCACAGAGCACTCTCAACAAAGTTGCCTTAAATATGAATGAACCTGTCACATTTCCCACCTCCTCTCTTCCCACTTCCGGAGTTGAAACCCCGTAACTTGTTATGTGGATGGTTGCACAGGCCCTATGGCATCTCCCCACCCCCCTCTCTCTCTCAGCTACAAATCTCCACCCTACTAATAGTCCTCTTCCATAAAAATAGCACTGATCATAAAGCCTCCTAATTCATTGTCTCTCACATGAGTCAAACTCCTCAACCTGCATTCATGTCTCTATATCAGGAGGCAGGAAACCTTTTCTATAAAAAGCCAGAGAGTAAATATGAATGGCATTATGGGCCATCCAGTCCCCATCACAGCTGCCCAGTTCTGCTCTTATAGCACAAAGCAGGCCCAGGCAATACACCAACAAATGGGCATGGCTGTGTTCCAACAAAACTTTATGGACACTGACATTTAAATTTCATATCATTTCCGGGTGCCTGGGTGGCTCAGTCAGTTAAGTGTCCGACTTCAGCTCAGGTCATGATTTTGCAGTCTGTGGGCTTGAGCCCCGCGTCAGGCTCTGTGCCGACAGCCCAGAGCCTGGAGCTGCTTCAGATTCTGTGTTTCCCTCTCTCTCTGCCCGTCCCCTACTCCATCTCTCTCTCTCATTCTCTCACTCTGACTCTCTGTCTCTCTCTCTCAAAAATAAACATTAAAAAAATTTTAATCTCATATCATTTCCATTTGACATAAAACAGCATTCTTCTCTTGATTTTTTTCTCAACCATTTAAACACAGAATACCGTTCTTAGCTTGCACACCATATAGAAACAAGTGGCAGCTGGATCTGACCCATGGACTGTAGGTTGCTGACCCTTGCTTGATTATAGCCTGCCCTGCCTTATCTAGCTTCAACCCTTTCCTATAATATACATTCCAGTCAAGCTAAACAATCTCTCATTGCCCTAGCAATTTAAGTGCCGCCTCCTTCAAGAAGACTTCCTGAATTGCACAGCTGAAAGTACTCTTTCCCTCCCTCTGGCATTTTATCTACACCAGTTTATTGGACGAAATTCTTCCTGCCTTGCACTACAGTATTTGACATATGTGGAGTGGGGTCTTAGAAAAAGAGGGAGCCCATAATTTGGGGAACTGAGGCACACTTAAGGAAAGAGCTTCAGAGCTTCAGTAAGAATTCAGAGGTAGGAGATACAAGAAAAATAAAAAACCCTAAAGCACACTACAATATGCCATTCACAAAAATAAGTTCTAGACGAACTAAAGAGCTAAATGAATAAATGTGAAACATTAAAAATAGACATAGTAGATAAATCAGTATATATTGACGTATAGGTGCAAAAACCATGAAGAAAAAGATTAATCCATATTACAAAGGTGTGTATGAAAAGAGACTATAGACACAGTTTCCAAAACAAGCAACCATGTGGGAGAAATTATTTGTGACTTACATAACAGAGGTTGACACAATATAAAAACCTCTTCCAAATCAGTAAGAAGCCCAACAAGTCAATGGGAAGGTGGGGTAAGCACATTAATGGGCAATTCACAGGGTGAAACATGCTTAGTCTCAAAGTAATCAGGGAGGAGGGTTTTAAGAGGAGATACCATATGACAAATCAAATTAGTAAAAAGTAAAAAGATTGATAATAAGGAGCGTTTGCAAGGATATGAGTCAAGAATGGCTCTCCCATCACTGGTAGAGATGTAAATTGTGTAACGGTATCTACTAATATTTTCTAAGTTCCCTAACACCTAGCAATGCCACTCTTGTATGTCTTCCTAGAGAAGTGTTTGAACACATATATAAAAATGCCCACAAGTAAGAAAGGGCTAGATAAACTGTTGCATAGCCATACTCTGAGTTATCGAACCCATGTGGTGGCCCGTGGTCAGGCTGCGTGTTGTGCTTCTCTGAGACTGATGAGGTACTCCTGGGCAACGTGAGATTGGGGGATTTGTATGTAGTGCTGGGCAGGGAGCGGGCAAGGCAGCTTCCAGAGGTGCTGTTAACCCTCACGCACTGGATGTTATCATCAGCACTGTGCACCCCTCAGTCCAAGAGCTTGCACCTCTGACTGCCCTCACATATGTTCCTCTTCTCTCTGCTACATGCCCCAACTATGCTGATTCCCTCCTGCATTCTTTTTTAATGTTTATCTATTTTTGAGAGAGAGAGAGAGAGACAGGGCATGGGCAGGGGAGGGGCAGAGAGAGAGAGGGAGACAGAGAATCTGAAGCAGACTCCAGGCTCTGAGCTGTCAGCACGGAGTCCGACATGGGGCTTGAACCCACAAGTCCTGAGATCACGATCTGAGCCGAACGAAGTCTGACGCTTAACCAACGGAGCCACCCAGGTGCCCCAGGAAAGATTTCTTTAATGGCGTTTTTAACTACTCATTCTGCTACTCGTATGTAGCGGACCGCGTTTTTATAGACTGACAACACTACAAATGAATGTGTTCTTTTAAAGTTAAGCCAATTGCCCCGGTATAAATATTCCCACCATGGCCAATACCAAGCTATCGACGTGATGTTGATGAATGCAGAGTTTGGAAGAGATGTGCACAGTCTGCTCTCACAGGCCGGGAAGAGCTGGTTCCCACATACTGCTGCTTGCATCTACCCTCGACCTTCACTTTCCTCTTAGGGGAAGGGACCCTGGACAGCACCATGGCCGGAGTGCCCACGAAGCACTTAGGATGAGCCAGGCACCATTCAGAGAGCTTTCACATTTTAAAAGTTTAATTCTCACATCAACTCTGTGTGGTAGGTAGAAATGAGGAAACTGAGGCATGGGTGAAATCACCAGTCCAAGGTCATGCTAACATTAGGAGAGCTGAGAAAGGAACGTCACCTGTCTCTGCATCCATAATCTTAAAAACCACACTATTCCCTAAAACTGCATTGTCTAATACAGCAGCCAGTAACCACGTTGGCTTTTAAAACTGAAATTAGTTGAAATTAAATAAAATTTAAAATTCAGCTCCTCACTCATACTAGACACATTGCTAGAGCTTGAAAGGTGTAGGGGCTAGGGGCTATGGTACTGCACAACACAGATATGGTATATTTTCATCATTACAGAAAGTTCTATCAGAGAGTGCTGCTCTAAACAGACTATCAGAAATAAAGAAGCCACACATATTTGCTTGGAAATATGGATGATTTAATGGCCTTTGTTCACCGCTATAACATAAAAACTCAAAAATACGCAGTGTTACTTGTCTCTTCTGCTCTGAGATGAGCAAAGTCATTCACTTATTCATTCATTCAACACATATTAACTGAGCACCTAGTCCCAGGACCTGTGCCAGGTTCTGGGGATTGAAAGACAAAGAAAGGGACACAGCTCCTGCGTCTCCAGGAGCTCACAATCTGATGGAGGAGGCAGACAAGGAAAAAGACAATTATTAGTCATGAGGACAGTGCGATGGTGGGGGATTCGAGGGTGATGTGAGAGACTGAGATAGGCAGCCAGCAGAATCCAAGGCACTCAGGGAAGGCTTCACAGAAGGGGTGATTTCCTAACCGGATGTTGAAAGATGAATAGGAGTTGGCAGGTTTCAGATATTTTAGATAGAATGTTTCAAAATTCAAAGAGAGGCCCAGGAGAACATGGGTCACTCAGGGACCCATGAGTGACTGGGATTGACTGGAGTCTAGGATGCAGTGGAAGCAAGCAGCTAGAGCAGAAGTCAGTCTGAGGGGCAGATGTGGGGGAGGGGAGAAAGGAAAGAGAAAGAGTTTCGTTTTGGATGTGACGAGGGTGGTGTGCATGGACAACATTCGAGGGGGTATGTGGGGCTGGAGCTCAAGAGCAAGGTCTGGGAATACAGATTTAACACTATCAGCCTCAAGGTGGTGATTAAACAAAAGGCCTGGCTGGGCTCATGCAGGGAGTGCGCAAAGCAAGATGAGCACGGACCAAGAATGACCAGAAGGAACAAACCCGATCCCAGGAAATAACGCCAATGTTTCCGGGGCAGGTAGAGAAATGGGGTCGGGGAAGAAGAGAAACCACACCAGAGGATCATCACAAGAAGTGGTATCCAGAAATCAAGGGCTGGGAGTGTCAACTGTGCAAAGAGGCCAAATAATATACAGACTAAGGTACCCGCCCACCAGAGTCGACCTTGGTATGAGCCATTTCAGTGGAGTTCAGGAAGCCAGCCTGCAGTGGGTTCAGGAACAAATGAGAAGTCAAGAAAGGCAGAGAAGAACTATGAGAGACAAGTCTTTTATTTTTTTTAATGGTTACTTATTTATTTTGAGAGAGAGAGCATGCAAGTGGGAGCAGGGGCAGAGAGAGAGGAAGAGAGAGAATCCCAAGCAGGCTCCACGCTGTCAGCATAGAGCCTGATGCGGGGCTCGATCTCACAAACCATGAGATCATGACCTGAGTCAAAATCAAGGGTAGGGCACTTAACTGACTGAGACACACATGTGCCCTAAGAGATAAGTCCTTTAAAAAAAGTACTCAGTGGGCTCCTGAGTTAAGTGTCTGACTCTTGATTTCTGCTCAGGTCATGATATGATCGTGAGATTGAGCCCCATGTTGGGCTCTGTCTGCACTGAGCATGGAACCTGCTTGGGATTCTCTCTCTCTCCCTCTGTCTCTGCCCCTCCCTTGCTTGCACGCTCTCTCTCAAAATAAATAAACATTAAAAAAAATACTCGGCTGTGAAGATTATGATCAAAGAGCCCTCAGCACGTTTGTTGATGGCATTGAAGAAGGCAGTGGACAGAAGAATGTCAAGGATCCATGGTGGTGAGGGAATGAAAGGTGAAGCAAGGCCCTGAGGACATCAGAGGGGAAGAAGTCCACAGCACAGGTGGAGAGTTAGCTTTGTGGGAGGAGAGGGGCTCCCGTTCCACGAGTGTGAGAAGGAGGAAAAGAAGGTCAAGCACAGACAAGACGTGCATGAATGTGGGAAGAGGATTGAGGGAGTCCCATCTTCTGGCCTCTATTTCTCCATGGAGCAGGAGATGAGGTTCTGCTGAAAGCAGAGGACTCGAGGACAAGAGCGAAGGCCTCAAATAGCTACTGGGCAAAAGGGAAAGACAGCCAATGAAGGGCACATGAAATACTTCTGGGCTGCGCCCAAAGGCCAGCTGAGGTTGGCAAGGAGTCTGTAGAAGTGCATGTTTTCAGAGAGCCACTGTTCTCCCTGACTGTTCTTAGCATCTCCAGGAGCGGCAGACAGAAAACAAGACAGCCAAATTAATCCAGGGTTGAGACTCTGCCAGGCAGAAAGGGACAACGGGCAGAAGCTTATTTGGAAGGAAGCAAAGAAAGTAGCAGGGTGAAACACTCCAGTATACATGTCATATAGTAATCTGGGGTGGAGAAAAAAGAGAGGCGAAAAGGTAGGAAGCAATGACCAGAAAGTTAAACATCAAAAATGGAGAAATTGAGGTGCCTGGATGGCTCAGTCAGTAGAGCATGTGACTCTTGAGCTCAGAGTTGTGAGTTCAAGCCCCACACTGCGTGTAGAGTTTACTTAAAAATAAAATAAAATAAAAATGGAGAAACTATGGTCAGGAGAGGGTGCTAATGGAAAAACTGGAAAGATATCTGTAATTGAGTAAATAAAGAATCTGTGAAGCAAGAGGATTAGATGATTTTTGTGAGGGGACATTGAAGACACCAAATTTGAGGCAGAGGGGATGGAAAATAAGACCATGAATATGGGAGCATGACCGGCGGAATGGCAGACAGTGACAGAGAAGGGTAGTGGGTGGGGGGCAGGTTTTATAGGAGGCAGAAAAGTTGGGCCCCTGGAAGAATGCTGGTGCCATCTGTAGGTCTGTTGGTATGAAGGCTTGGAAGAATGGCCAATCTTCCTGTGAAAGCTTCTAGAGAAGGGGGTATCCTTGAAGAAGAGCCAAATGCCAGACATGAATATTGTGCAAAGACGTAGCACATTCACAGAGCTTTCGGACAGTTTTTTGGCATATTTGCAGAGCCACTGGAAAGGTTAAGAGGGAGGCAGTGGGTGGTTTTGAGGATGAAAAAGTAGGAACAGAGGAACCAACACTTTAGGCAGAGATGACAAATATGGGGCCTGGTGGCATTGCTTCCAGATGGTTAGAGCTCTGGGGTCAAGGGTGGCCCCAGGTGGTATAGAAGATTGGTGACACTCCCCAAACGGATAGCTTTGCTCCAGGATTCCCCCAAAACATTGGTGAGAAGTTTAGGACCCCAGAAGGTAATGGGACAACTAGATTTGGCTGATCCCAAGACCCTAACTCTTGGGTGGAAACCACAGCAACCTCCCAGGAAATGATGACAAGTCAGTCACGTCCCCAAGGAGATCCTAACCTAGGCGTGCAGAGTCCAGATTAGACTTTCCCCCTGGTGAGACTTGCAGAGGCCTCAGGGGATGGGCAGTGAGAGAAATTAAGCAAGAGAAATCATAATTATTCCTTACTAGGAATAGAAATTTGCTCGGGGCCTATGATGACGCCTAAGCCTTACATGTAACCAAATAAAACCTCCCCAAACCAATTCTGCTGAACCCATGACCATCAGGTATGTGTGTTTCCAAGCTTCCCCTTCAGCTTCACCCTGCTAAGACTTCAATCCTGGTTGACCAGTGGCCAATAAAATCTCAGATATTGTTCAAGTAGCACCCACATCACAGGGAATCAAGGCTTGACAGTGAGGATGGGTGGGGGGAGACACTCCCTCTGTGTGTTTTAGAAATAGTTTCAGAATAATACTTGGAATCCAGACTTTAAACTGAGGCCTTGAGTGGTTTGGGCAAAGCCCCACCTATTTCTGCACATTCATCTCATTCTCATATTTACTAAGAGGTTTTGGTTCTCTGAATAGAACTCAAATGGCCCAAACATCACCCCTTCTTTATAATCCCACTAATCTGAGGAAACTAGACATCATCCATCCTAGTCGGACAAGACCTGAGTATTCCAGACCATGAGTAAGACCAGCAGTCCCTGAGATACCTGCACAGGTGGGTCAGCAGTCACCTGAGACTCCTGGCACCTGCCACCCTCTCAGCTCAAATATCATCTCCTCCATGACACTCCTCCCAATGAATGCATGTGCGCACTCACACGCACACACGCGCGCACACACACGCACACACACGCGCACACACACACACCAGCCACATGCCCTCCACTGCACCCCCCCCATATAGTTTACCATTGCATTTATTATTATACTGTGCTTTAATTGTTTACATTTTGGCTGCCCAGCTACATTTGAAGCCTCTTTATCCCTTGGGTCTACCACCCAATAAATATTTACAGGATAAATTGGGCGAGGCTAGGCTGGGCTGGGGTAGAGTTCAACTGAATCTAACTGAGTTTAAATGAACCAAAATGAACTTAGGAACATAGAGCAGTATACCCACAGCAACAAGCGTGAACATGACCCCGACTTCCTCATCAAGCGTCTTCCCAGAAACCTACCACCTTCAGAATGTCTCCCCAGGTCCCCAGCCACGGTGCCCCTCCCCCACCAGACCGGTCCTCATTGCTTCTTATGGAACAGAGCCGGGGCTGGCTCATTGCTGGGCTCTGCCATGACCTGCATGGGCTGGTTGTTCAGGGCGGCCTCACGCATCTTGTGGTACATGAACTCGTTCTGGCGGAACATGCGCAGCTCCATCTCCGTCTGCATCCGCATGGCCTGTGGGACATAAATACACGATAAACGGTGATGACAGGTCACCAGGACGTATTGGCCTCTGACCTACCTTCGCCCTTTTGGAAAGGGCAGACAATGGGGTAAATGACTCCCAGACACTGAGATTCAGCTGTTCCCACTCAGAGGACACACAGATACACACACACACACACACACACACACACACACACACACACACATCCTCTGGGGGCTTGAAGTCCTGGGAGTGGGCTCGGTTTGCTAGGGAGAGGGAGGCAGACCCCTAAGAAAGTACCTTGAGGGATTGTTCACAGCAGAGAATGCTTGTTCACAGGAACTGACAAGTGGGGATTGGGTTGGAACCCTGGATCCTGCACATAGGTCCCAACTAACACTGTGGGACCTTAGGCAAATGACACCTCCTTTCAGACCTCAGTTTCCTCACACATAAAGTGGGTGAGATTCCTTCATATGTCACAATGGAACAAGAAGATTACAGTATGTGATGCATAGAAAAGCCCCTATGCTCCCATATTTCCATGCAAGAAACATTTACCAAGGGCCAGGCATCATTGAGGCACTAAGGATACAGCAGTGAAGAAGGCAGAGCCTTTGGCAAACTTAATATACTATACGTAAAGTTGGTCTTCTCAGACATTTTATGACACTGAAGTCTGTCCTCTTTCCCTGTACCATACTGAATGAGGACCGTCCTTTGAACCCTGTCACCCTCAAATAAACCAGCTCTTCCAAACACAAAGGAAACTTGGGGCGCCTGGGTGGCGCAGTCGGTTAAGCGTCTGACTTCAGCCAGGTCACGATCTCGCGGTCCGGGAGTTCGAGCCCCGCATCAGGCTTTGGGCTGGTGGCTCAGAGCCTGGAGCCTGTTTCCGATTCTGTGTCTCCCTCTCTCTCTGCCCCTCCCCCGTTCATGCTCTGTCTCTCTCTGTCCCAAAAATAAAAATAAAAAACGTTGAAAAAAAAAATTAAAAAACAAACAAACAAACAAACACAAAGGAAACCCCAGCTATTAAGACCAGGCCATTTGCTAGGCACTGTTCTGAGTGCTTTTTACACATTAACTCACTGAACCCTTATCACAACCCTATCCTTTCTCTCCATTTTACTGATGAGGAGACTGGGGCCCACACATTCCACGTTTGCACTCACACAGCTAGAAAGTGGTAAAGCTGGAGTTCAGTCTCAGCAGCCTGATTCCAGGGCCTATGCTCCCCAGCTCTGCTCTATGAGGCACAAATTCTAATGTACCTGGCCGCACACATACTGCTGGTTAGGCTTTCCCAGTCCACGCTTGGAGCATCTCAGGGTTCAAACCTCAGCTTTGCCATCCACTCACTATGTGACCAGAGACAGGTTAATCCCCTTCCCGGGGCCTCAGTTTGCTCGGATGTAAAACAAGGGGGGTGGTGAACTAAAGCAGTTCTGAATTCCCTTCTGCTCCAGCAGGCAATCTATGGGACTCCCCAAATGCAGAGTCCAGAACTCTGGGGTCTGCAGCTCCCATCCTTAGAGAGCTCAGACCAGACAAGGACGCACATCTCTGAGATGCTACTTGCCTCTAAGTCCTTGGTGATTGGGTGGGAGGGTCCATGTGTCACCAGGAGAATGGCATAGGCTTTGCAGATCATCCCGTGCCCCACCTCAATGTTCCCAGCATGCCAGTTGGTCAGCCCTGCCCGCATCACGGCCATGCCCAGCTGGGCATTGTTGGGGTGGTAGAGCTTCCTGTGGGGGCATAGCAAATAATTGTACAAATCATCCCAACCTTCCTGAGAGGTGCACGGTATTTGACAGCTCACCATGTACCCTCATTGATTCAGTCCATCTGCTCTCCCATCAGCACCATGAGGCATCTACAGCCCATTGGGCAGGGCCTGAGCCACAGAGAAGGTGGGCAGTGACCAAGCACACCGAATGGTGAGGCTGTGAGAGCTGAGACTCTGACCTGGGTCACCAAGGCAAGTCCTCGTGGGGAAATGGAGTCAGGATTGGACTCTGAACTAGAGGACAGGAGGCTGGGAGCTCTCAGGAGCACCCCAGCCTTCTCCCTGCAAAGTAGACGTTCAGGGGAATAAAAATAACTTGAATGTCCTTTCTGGGACAGAACTGTATTCTCACCTCCTTGGCACGGTCCTAACAGAGCTTCCTTTTAGCATATTGTACAGTCTTCCTGGCTTTTGTTTATGAGGAACATTCTCTCCAAAAAAAATGTACCTTCTTGTGCCAACATACTCATTTGGTCAAAGATACAAATTCACATGCCAATGTGGACATGGAAGGCAAGAGAAAGACATTGGCAGAGGGAAGGCAGGAACTGTGCATTTTCTAATTTATAAGCAAGGATGGCTAACACCTTTTTTTTTTCTTTAATAAAAGAAAGGTCACAGGGTTGCCTGTGCTGACTGCCAGGCGGAAATCCTTTCGAAGCACTTAAAAGCAAGCTGAACTTAGCCGTAAGAAAACCAAACGCAGAAGGGGCCACCCAAGTGGTAGATGTGCTAGAGGATTTGGGAAAGACCAGGGATGACCCATAGGTATCATCTCAGGTACTAACTCTGATCATTCGGTCAGGACCACTCAGAGCACCATGGTAAAAAGACTCAGTTGTAAAGATAAAAAGGACTGGGCCACCTGGGTGGCTCAGTCAGTTAAGCAGCCAACTCTTGATCTCGGTTCAGGTCATAATCTCACAGTTTGTAAGTTCGAGCCCCGCATCAAGCTCTGCTCTGACAGTGCAGAGCCTGCTTGGGACACACATGCTTTCTCTCTCTCTCTCTCTCTCTCTCTCTCTCTCTCAAAATAAGATAAATAAACTTAAAGATAAAGAGGACCATGGTCGATTACTGATGCCTCCCGTGGGTGCAGGAGGGAGAGACAGCAATATGGGTGCCATCTTTGCCATTCCTGGAATAGACACTTTTCCAGGAGACTTTCTGAGACCCAGCATTGTTACCTACATATAGCCATCCACCATCCTCCTGGCGTAGTGCGAGGCCTCCTCAAAGGCCTGGAGGTAGGAGAGGACCTCCGAAACAGTGCTCAGCATCCGCAGCGTGTAGAGGTTGGTGTCGGCAAACACTGGCTCCTGCTTCTGCAGGCACTCCCGGCACAATTTCACAACCTGGAGGAGACACAGGACCTGTCCGTGACCACGGCACCGCAGCATGCACGTAGCTCATATATGGGGGCACCACGATGACACTAGACATTCATTCTTTTAAGGCCGAGGAAATGGCTGACAGAGGTGCAGGAGCACCAGTCTGTGATCTGAATAGCAAAATGGCCCTATTTGGCTACGATGCAGGGATGGAAAGGGTGACAGTGGGAGATATGGCTGACATATGACAAAAATGAGTTTTCATAATCAGTAGGTAGCAGAGAGTTATGAAAGACAGAGAGAGAGAGAGAGATTGACTGATTGATTGATTGATTGACTCTTACAATAATGCAATGAGATAGGTACTACTAACATTCCCGTTTTACCAGAGGAGGAAACTGAAGCACAGAAAGGGTTAAGTGCTTTGCCGAAGTCATGCAGGTGGTAAAACATGGAGCAAGAATTCAAACTAAGCAGCCGGGCTTTATCTGAACCACCATTCCTGGGACTCTCCACTCTGGTTGGGCTCTGGAATTACCTGGAGACATTTTTAAAAACAGCAGTGTCTGGACCCTACCCCAGACCAATTGAAAGCAAATATCTGGGGGACGGACCCTGGCAACTGTAGGGTATATAAGCTCCTGGGTGGTCCTTATGCACAGAGAGTTTGGACAATCATTCCCCGATGGAAGCATACAAGATGAGCTGGCAGAAAGGGAGGCTCCCAGGAGGCTGGGAGACCCACCAGGAGGATGTCACCTTGGTTCTGGTAAGGAATAAGATGGGCCTGACCCCAGTGAGCTTGGAGTCAGGCTTTTCTGACTGATTCCTGTGTCCACATGGGCTTGGGTTGCATCCTACAAAGTCAGATGGTCTCTAGATTTTAGTTGTTCTTTGTTCCCCCTTCACTTGCCGCTGTCATGGGAGAAATGTCACACAATTCCTTCCATCTCAAATGAGCAGAAAATAATTTTGCTCTGAGACTCTCCCAGAGTCCCATGGGTGGGGGGTGTGACCAACTGTGGACTGACCATCAATCCATCCTGAAGACAATCCTCTTAACCCCACGGGGCCAGTGTCCAGGTCTACACCTGGTCCTGTTAGGTTTGAATGGAAGGGGAGAAATGAGAAGTCAGAAGATTGGAACCAGCGGAGCCCTCCTGATTGCTTCAGCTCCTACGTCGTGCCTCTGACATAGGTTTTCCACATTGTACAGTAACACCCTGCTGGCGTGCCTGTCTCCCCACCCATGAGAACTCCTGGGAGACAAGGAGCATGTCTCGCGTTGGTCACCCCACCAGTAAGGGCTCACAAATGTGCAATGAATGAGTAAATGAAGAGGATGAAAATAAAGGAGAAGCAGGTGGAAATGAAAACAAATTCATCTCTCACTGCCATGCCTTGGTGGCTTCCAAACCCAGCTACATGCCTGGGTTGTTGAAAGAGCCTGGGGGAAAGACACTGATTCACAGTCACTGTGTTCTGTTGCAGATTTGACAAATCATATCTTAGGGGGTGAGACACGGGAATCTGCATTTCCAACAAGCTGCCCAGGTAAATCTGATGCAAGTACTCTGCAGGTCAGTGTGTGGCAGTGGGTCTCCATTTTGGGTGCACATTGGAATCACTTGAGAGTTTTAAAAATCCTGACATCTGGGTTTTACCCCCAAAGAGATTTGGGTGAAAATGTCCTGGGTCGGAGCCTGAGCATCAGGAGTTTTCCACGATTCTAGTGTACATCCAGTTGACAATTCCTGATGCTTCGAGAGCCAGGGCTGAATGCTCAGTTGGTAGAGACTGGAAACTGTAGCCAGGACATGCATTCAATTACGAAAAAGCAGGTGACCCACTGCCATTTCCATTTCTCCTCCTCTGATGCCAACCTGAGATATCACAGACCTCCCAGGGACATTTGCCAGGCTGCCTGTGCTCTCCTCAGACCCAGTTTCAGTCGGTTGAGCAATCACTGAGAACATATCCCCAAGAGATGCTAAAGGCTTAAGGGCAAGAAGAGTCATGGTGCAAACCAAGGGCTATCCTCCAGAAAAACAACCTGCTGGGTAGCCTCCTCATCTCCACCCCTCCCCATGTCCCTCCCATACTAGAGAATCTTTCTGCCCTCTTCCCCACCCCATCCCTATAAAAATGAATTCTTACCTCATGGTATAAACCCTCAGAGCGAGCCTTGTCAATTTTTTCCAGTGTATCCTTGGACAACTGTATCATTTCCTTTACCGCTTCCGGAGAGGGCTGGGAAAAAAGGAACATTGAGTTAGAGACCCCCTCACGAAGCAACCCATTGCATCTTTGAATAGCTGCCATCTTTGACATTCAATGTAGGACAAGATTAACGCTTTCCTCATTCTGAATGCTTCGTTTCCATAAATGCTGCTCAAGATCCCTATAGCTTTTCCAGCTCCCTCATTATGCTTCTGACTCACATGCATTTTTGACTGACCAAGCCCCAGCACCTTGCTGCCAGACAATTGTTCCCCACCTGGTGCTCATGCCTGGGTTTTGGAACCCCAGTGCAGAATCTGACATTCTCATTCTATCACCCAAAATATCTTCCATTATTTGTCTTTACTTCAAGTCAACCACGTGTTCTACAGGTAATGCCCTCGCATTTTAGTCTTCACACAAGTCATGGATTTAAATACTGACTGGCACAGGACTGAGGACAGAAGCTTACGGCTTAACCAAAAAATCGTGCTCCAGTTTGCCATTGAGCTCATTATAGAAGGGACTTGTGGTTGTGGGCATTCAAACCCTTCCAAAGTATCTTTGCACCCAGTTCATATTTCTTTGTCTTGACCAAATTATATCATGAGAGAATTTGTCAGCTGTCTCTGTGAAATCTAGACTCATCAGGTTTACCGCATTTGCCTACATGGTCCAGTGATCTTATTTTTCAAAAACCAAGGTTTGATATTTCAGGCAAGGAGGCACCATAATTAAAAGCCCACGAGGGCATCATAATTTTGAATAAGAAGTGCCAAACTTCTCAGTGTCCAAAGAAAAAGTTTACTTGCTGGGCTCATCCATATCAGAAACTCTTTTCCGGAATACAAAAATAAGAATTTTTTTCTTTTCCTTTTTTTTTTTTTTTTTTTTTTT